CGGCTTAGGATGGGTTCCGTCCCCAAAAACACATCATAATTTGAAAATATTTTAAGTCAAAAATGCAGTTACCACCTAACCTACCGGACATCAGAGTTTAGCCGCCCACCTTGCACGTGCTCAGCCTTTAGTTGGGCATTTATCTTGAGTTTCATCTCAAGAACTGCCTTCCTCTTCTCACCAGAAGCAGGAGACATAGATGGGCGTTTGGTAGGCATGCTGGGATGAGAAGACAAACCAGTGCTGGGGGCAGTAAAACTACAGAGCATTGGTGGTTTGCCCTCATGCGCTCGTGGCTGACCTGGAGCTGCGGCCGCCCAGCGTCACCATGTGGCTAGCCTGGGAAAAGATCACAGTTCAAAGTGCTGTTTCTACGGAATGCACATAGCACGTGTGCACTATCATACAGTCAGAAAGTCCTAAGCCGGGACAGAGTGTGATTTGCTCAGATCCAGTCACCTGGTCTGGAGTGCCCAGCTATGCTAACAGTCACTCTTCCTGGGCAATTCTCCATCCACCCCATGCAGCCATCTCTTTCTAGACCAAAAGCTTTGAGTTTGCTTTATAATTGTATATTTATTACTTTCTTCCCAAAAGAAACTTTGTAAATCAATGGAAATATTTAGCAACAAAAAGACTATCCTTGCTTTGACCTAGCTCCTATTTTAGGCACAAAGGGGCTCAAGAGGCAGCCTGGGTTTGAATATCACTTTGTCACTGACTCCCTGTGACCTTGGCCAAAACACATCCCCTCCCTGAGCCCTAACTCCCACCTTAGTGAGATGGAGACAGGACGACTCAAGTAGAATGCAATTGTGTGAAAACTACTAAAAGGCTCAGCTATAGGGAGTGGTCTATGGATGGGGATGTTCTCAACCCACCCTTCCCAGGGGCAGCAACGGGACATGCAGGATAGGGGAATGCTGTGGCTTCCCAGACCATGGTCTAAGAACCAAACACACATTCCCACACTGGGTGGAAATGGGGGTGGGGGCGGAGCTCTGGGTGGCTGCCCAGGGACCCTAGGTTCCATGGGATGTGGGCCAGGCCTTACAACTTCCTGGGCAGTTGGTGAAAACATTTCCTACCATTAAAATGGTTTCCATAACAACTTTTGTCCTGGCTACTTAGTATTTGGTGCCCGTGGGGCTTAAGAGTGTGAGTGGATTTGGTGGTGGTTCAGGCTGCTTGCTCGGTGGAAGATCCAGACACTCAGGAAGTCCCGCCCTTGGGCTGGAGGCATCAATACGAACCAAAGGCCTCACCAGAGCTTCCCCTCATGTGGTCAGAGAGCAGACCTGTCTGGGAGGCTGCCTCATCTTTTAAAACCTCCCTTATGTGTTATCCACCAAAATCCTGTATAATGAAAGGCTAATATGCAAATTGTCCCTCGACCAGGAGTTTGAAGGGGGGTGCGCTGGCTGCCCAACTGCCTGCAGCCCCTCCCCCTAGCTGGCCCCACCCCCGATCACACCACCCCACCCTGACTGGGGGGCAGGGCCAGCTGGCCAACCTCCTGTGTCCAGCCACCACCACCCAGGCAGATCTGCCCTAATTGGGTGGGCCTGCCGGACCCCACCTATGCACGAATTTGGGCACCGAGCCTCTAGTAAAAAGAATAAAAAAAGAATTTGCCATTAGGAGGTATGGGCAGGATATCAGTGGCATTGGTGGCTCTGGCCTGTGACAAGTGGCCCCGGGCCTCTCATGGCTCAGGTGCTGCTAAGGGACCTTGAATCTCCATGTATCATTTGGAAAATGGAGAGTCCCCTACTGTCCTGACAGCTGTCACTCAGGCGTGACCTCACGGACTACAGCCGTTTTCTTCTGCGTTCTCTCCGGTGACACTGGGGAAACACTCTTTGGCAACACTGCCGTCTTTAATGCACTATGTTTAACCTGCTCTGAGCCCACAAGGAAATACCCAGGGTTCCAAACCCAGCTCCACCACCTGCTGCTGTGTGAGCCTGAGCAAGGCTTAACCAGTCTTCTCCGCTGCAAGAAGGACGTAAGAATGTCTCAGGGACCTGACAAATAATGGAGTAGCTAGCAGTGCCTACCGGTCCTGGTACTTGGTCCACACGCAATGACATCTGAGTCTGAGTTCAGACCAACTATCCTGTTGTAGTTATCCAAAGGGGCTGAGGGAATACTGCTGCCATTCTGCCAACCTTGCCAACCATGAGGCCGAGGGAAACTTGTTTAGAAGCCCAGACTTAGCTGTACAGAAATCAGTGTGTCTCCTACAACTGCAGCAATACTGGCTCCTCATCCAGACTGACTGGAGAAAGCCGGGTGGCACAGGGAGGTCGCTGGTTCCCTCGGCACATTCACACACCATCCGCAGCTGCAGAGGCCGTAAGCAGCAGCCTCTGCTCTGAGGAGCTCAGCAAAGGTGATGTGAGTGGCAAGTACCGTGCAGAGGGCAGACATGGGTACTCGGGGGCCCACAGCAGGAGCACTTCACCCTCTTGGGGGCTCAGGGACCTACAGACAGGAAGCAGGGCTCAAGGATGGAGAAAGGAATCAGGCCAAGGGAAAAGCGTATGCAAAGGCTCAGGACAAGAGAAGGGTCGCATGGAATCGTGGGAAGCAACCAGTTCTGTCACAAAGGGGCTGGAGAGAGACAAGGAGAGAATTTGCTAGGGCAGGTCTGGGTGCTCACACACCAGTCAGCATACTAGTCTTGGCTTCCCCACAAGTGATCTGATGTTCAGGAAGCCTGTGTTATCCTGGAGCCCGAGGACGGCGACCTCTTCCTACCTACACCTGGGCTGGCTCAGACAAAACTATAGCGGTGAGCGAAGCGAGTGGTAGAGAGCCCAAGCTAAGGGTTCT